ACACACACACACACACACACACACACACACACACACACATACACACACTTATATAGAGTGTCGCATAACTGCCGCATTACCTCAAAGACATATTCTTGAGGTAATTTTAAAACGAATATCCTAATACGAAAATGTCGGGACTACAATATTTTTTTAACCTTTATTGGTATTTTACTGGTATTTTACTGATATTTTTGGCCTTGAAACTTTGAATTTTTTTATGTAAAATTCATATATATTGAATGTTTATGTCACGAGGAGTCGATAAATTTTCCATTGGCACTATAGTCTGATCCGCAACGGAACGGTCAATGTAGAAAATTTTCATTATTTTATTTTCTAAATATTTCTAAGTGTTTTTGATGTCGTGGAACACGTTTCAGATTATGAAAATTGTATGTAGAAATTATTTACCTAGATAATTATTTACCTAGATAAATCTAGATAAGTATTATTTACCTAGATAAATCTAGATAAGAATTGAAAAATATATAGACATTTACGTACATTTAATCCATATCGTAATCCAGGACTAACGACGTCAACGTAGAAAGTTATTTATATAGTCTCTTTTTTCGTTTTTTTTACATTTTTTTTTTCTTTACTTTTTTACATTTTTATTTATTTTTTTATTTTTTTTTATTTATTTTTTATTTATATTATTTTTTGCTACTTATCATTTTTCACCTATCAAGTGAAAATATTAGAATTTATAGCAAAGTCTGTATAGACATAACATATGCAGTATTGCATAATCGCAAAATGCACAGTAATATCGAGTTCGACATCTGATTGATTGAATGAACACAAATGACATCAACGATTTTTATCGAGTGCTCTTGGGAAATGGTCCTATCAACCGATTCAAATTATATAGACTTTAGTTATTGACATTATAATGGTCAATTCGGCCCTCTAAAGGTTAACTAAGTTTAAATACTTATAAGTTAAAAATCATTTTATTTTTATAGTTAGTATTTTATAGTTAGTTTTTTAGAATACCTCTATTATTATTTTTGGATTCTTTTGAACATTCTAAAATAAAAATCTTAATATGAAAATATCGAGGCTATAATAGTTTTCGAATTACACACTGTCTTTAACTAATTATAATTCAAAAACTATTGTAGGCTTGACATTTTTGTATTAAGATTTTCTCAAATTATTTCAAGAATACATTCTTAAGAGGAACTGCGGTAATTGTAAGACAACCCTGTATATCCAAGTAACACACAGTAATGCAAAGCATTAACAAAGCGCTAAAAAAGCTATTATAATCGTTTTTTTTAGTGCTTTGCAAGCATTGCTGTGCTACTTGCGTATAGGTCCCAGTAAAAAATGTTTCACACAAAAATATAAATACATATAATCATATATGAAATATGTTCATATATCATGTAACATAAAAAATACTTAAAGGGATAATTTTTGCATTGTTAATTTTAGAAAAAACAAATTTGAAAAAAAATTGCTCATACACAATTAAGCATAATTTTATATATAATTATTCATAAGTAATTTTTTTACATTTTTTCGAACTTGATGTTTTCTAAAATAGTGTGAAAATCACTCTTTTAATTATTTTTAATGTTTTACTATTGTTATTTCTATTACACTAAAAAATTTTACAAAAGAAAGAAGGACTTAGCAAACGAGAATAAATTGAAATGAATTGAAATGGATTCAGATTTTCGGAAATATTAATTTACAAATGTTAAAATGAATGCTTTTCAATTCTAAATGCATTTTTATTTATTCATTTATAGGAATTGCATGGAGCATATCTCTATGCCTTTCAATCTTAAAATAATATTAGCTTTTTCTGTGCACACAAACACAATTGTGAATACTATTCAATTCGAAATTTTGAATAGGAAATGTAGTTTTTCAATCCAATTGCATCCAATTGCATCTAATTGAATCTAATTGAATCCAATTAAATCCAAAAAAAAGTATTCTATTTAAAATATGCATTCGGATAGAAAAAAATTTTAATCCATTTTAATCCATTCTCGTTTGCTGGAGATATATGCATGTATGGCATGTAAAATGTTTCATATAAAATTATGAACGTTTATACATATTTATACATATTTATACGTATTCATGCAAAAACTTTTTACCGGGGACGCGTTACTATTATAATACGTAATTTATATAAAATTATATAATTTAATATATAAATATTATATCATATATTTATATATTTATGTGGAATATATTGTATATTTTTACGTATATAATTACATATAGTCACAAAATCATTAATGTATAAATATTATTTTATTATATCGATATATATTATTAAATATAAAGATTATTAAATATAATTATGAAATATTCTTAAATAATTTTTATAACCTTATCATGGAAAGAAGGAAGTCTCTTTAATTTTTCATCAATTATAATTCTCGTATTGCTTCGAAAAAAATTTCCAAAGAAAAATGAGACAACAATTCAGATGAAATCGTTGAAAAGGATCGACCTACAGCTTGGATAGCAACTTAGAATAGCTTAAAATGGCAAACGAATTTGAAACCATTTGAAATTTGAAATTTGCGTGTGTGATCATGTGATGTGTTGCAACAGACGCGACCTCTAGACATAAATTTTACTACATTAACCTAATCTAACACCTAACCTTTGATCTGTTTTCTGTTTCTGCATTAGAACTCTCTTTCTCGCTATAAACAAATATCAAATGTATATCTATCTCACTTTAAATTCCAAAAGTGTACACTAGTTCAGTCACAGAAAACAGACCTCTAGTTTGTTGACTGTTCTTTGTACACTTATATATAAATTTGTTAAAGAAGATTGAAAAATTGTGTGAAACAGATGATTAGAGAAATAATAACATAAAGCAAGAGACCTTTTGCTGCATTCAAGGTGATAAAAGACACTTTCAACCAGAGAGATCAATCAAAAAAGAGTTGGATTTATATATAATGTCTAGCAAGTATATATATATATATA